AGCAAGTGTCCAAGTCAAACCAGGCCAAGTGGGAAAAGCAAGCCCTGCCTTGTCGTCCCCCTTAGGAGGCAAACAACGAGCCTCCCGTGGGCTGAGCCACCTCCCCGGGGCTGCTCTGGGTAAAACACCAGGCACCAACCTGCGGATGCTCCGGCGGCAAGGCTGAGCCCTCCACACCCCGGAGGCTGCCCCGAGGACGGGCAAGAAGGGCAATTAAGGATGTAGCCAGTGCCTCCAGTAAGTGCCTTACGTTGGCAAAGCAAACACCTAGGTTATTTTAGGGCCTGCCTCCTTTCTCACACAATGCACACACTTTAAAAAAAAAACAAACCCGTGTGTAATACAAGCAAAAGCTGATGCTCCAGAGGATGAGCTGCCCCCTCACTTATCTCAGCGCAAAGGTGTGTGGGTGGAGAGGTGCGCAGTCACTCTTTGATGCTTCAAGAGCAATCCAAGCCTCGACAGTTCTGCAAGCCTCCTCCTCCCTTCCCCCCACGTGTCCTCGAAGAGCTCAGCTCGCTGTTTTTTCAAGTTACTGCTCAGGATGTGGGAAGGGAGAGGGCGAGGCGGATTGTATTTCAGGCTGGGCCTGCCTCCCTGCGCCATCCTCCCTGTGCCAGCAGCCCTGCAGCCCCGCTGCCGCACGAGCCGCTCGCCAGGGACGGGAAAGAGAGACACGTTGGCTGCACGGCCCTGGGGACACCTGGGATCCTCCCTCAACCCCAGCCGATGCTACAGGGCTGGAGGAGCCCTCTGCAAGAGGGCTGGGGACGGTGCCAGCGGGGAGCCGGGCATCACTCTCTGCCCCAGGGCACAGCCTGGCCTCCAGCTCCCACCCCAGCGGGGACACGCTGCTCCCCTCGCTTGGTTTCTTTACGCACAGGTTCAAAACGAAGAGGGGACAGCACCGCTGTAAGGGGGGGAACGCAGGAACAGCAGAGTCCTCAGAGGCAGATGCAAACTCCTCGCCTTCCTCCATTCTTTCTCCGTTAGTGCTGCAGGGAGGTGACATCTCCATGGTGGGTAAGATGCTCTTGGAGCACGGCAGAAACGCAGCTCCTCCACCAGAACCCCGGGGCCTCCCACAGTCCCTGCCCTCCCTCCTGCTGGCTGCTCCGCAGGGTGCGAGGAGGCAGGGTGGGCACGGCCAGCCCTCACCTGAAGGAACCAGCACGTATTGCCCCAGAGGGTCTGCACACTTTTACCCACGTCGCAGGACTGTCCCACATGCCACTGCAGTATTTGCCCGCAGCCGCAGTGACCTTCGCTCGTGGTGCTCGCTGCTGGTCGCCCACGGCTGTCCCTCGCTGGCCAGGCAAGGAGTCGTGTGCCGGCCCCGTCCCCCTTTGGGGGTCCTTGCTTGGGAACGCTTCCGACACCCTTAACTCACCCACACCCCGGGCTCCTGCCATCACCCATCAGAGAGCACGGCCCAGCTCAACGCCCCATGCCCCAAGACTCTGTTTCCCCTCCCAGCTGGGCATCAGACCTGCCCGGAGGCACCCAGGGAGCACCCATGAGCACAGCGTGTGCCTCCCCAGAGGCAGCTGCACCCCAAACTGCTTCGCTGCCAGGCACCTGAGCAACCCAGCCCTGCCAAAGGCTCTTGGCCAGAGTCATAGGGAAAGGGAGAGCTCTGCTTTGAGCAGAGCAGGCACCAAGGGATGTTCCGTCCATCTGAATCACAGAATCACAGAACATCAGGGGTTGGAAGGGACCTCTGTGGGTCACTCAGTTCAACTCCCCTGCCCACGCAGGGTCACCCAGAGCAGGCTGCACAGCACCGCGTCCAGGCGGGTCTTGAATATCTCCAGAGAAGGAGACTCCACAGCCTCCCTGGGCCAGGGCTCCGTCACCCTCAGAGGGAAGAAGTTCTTCCTCATGTTCAGACGGAACTTCCTCTGCTTCAGTTTGTGCCCGTTGCCCCTTGTCCTAGAACCTCCCTGACCACTCCTCTTGATGCCCCCCAGGATCCCGCTGGCCCCAGGGCACACTGCTGGCTCATGGTCAACTTGCCATCCACCAGCGCACGCTCTGTTCAGGAAAGGCCGGGGCAGCCGAGAGCTATTCCTGGGGAGCCTAAAAAGGCCATGGCTGAGTCAGCGCCGAGGGCCTGCCCCGCTGCTCGTGCCCACGAGGCCACTGCATGACTGCCCTAGCAAACCCCAGCCACTGCCTCGCTGCAGGGCTGCGCCGTGCCGGGGCGCCGCGCTGCCACGG